AAAGAGGGAGAGAAAGAAGCCGAAAACAAAGTTAATACTTTCTGATCACTCAATTATTCTTTCGCTCTCTCCGTGTGCTTGGCCTTTCCGTACTCAATAACACGAGCCCTAGTCGTAGTCCGGCTGGGGGCCCATGCCCACTAATTTAGTACACTCTGATTCCCATACCAGTCTGGTCGTAATGATCCCCAAAACTGGAAGACAACGAGCCTCAAACTCGAGTTTCTAGAACCTTTTCCATGCCGTGAAATTATACTTTATCTTTGCTTCGTCGCCGTCGTTCAACATGGTAGCTAGTATGTCAAAATTTCGAGGAAAAATATTTTTTAGCAAGTAGGATTTGATGAGTCGCTTCGATTGGTCTCATTTTTACCCTTGAAATAGTAACCGACAGAATAAACGTTTCGTATTAAGATAATGTCCTGCCCGAAATTGAGTAATTCATTCAGTATTCTGAAAAACGTCGTATTTCGACATACGACAGTAAGGAATGACGGCGCTAATTTGTTTCTGAATAGATCTATATTGGGATACCTATGAGTGCGCAGAGGTAACGTACTTTCCATTATGCCAAGAACGTCTGAGGAACTTTGTGGGACGGATTGTGGGAACTGAGTATACGAGCTGTAAAAAAAAAAAGGGGGGGGGGGATAATTGAGTATCGTTTTTCTTTTTTTATTTCGCTTTTTTCCAAGCAGGAGTGTAGTCTGCCTGCAAAAAAAAGACGAATAATTCCAGATTTTTAAAGAATTTGTCACGTCGCGAAATTCTACTAGTTCACTTATCTCTGTACAGCTTATTGGGTTTCCCTAGAGCACGCAGAGGTCAATTCTTTTCCACGTGCCAACAGCGCCCAGAAAACTTTTGTTAAAGGACTGCCAGGAGCGATAATTTAGAATCCCTTTTTTCAAGCTTGGGTGCACCGTCTTGCCAAAATAGATGAATAATTATCTTCTCACACCCGCAAGCCCGAAAAGGCTGAGGGCCAATATAGAATCTGATTGCTGTGAGCTAATCTCAATCACGACAGCTTGATGGGTTTGACCTTCTAGTGTTCGGTACAAAAGTTCAAAGGTTAATTTTAAAAGATCTCTTAAATGCAGCCAAAGGCAAAGTGAAGCTTCCTGGCCCGTTCAGAATAAGACAGATTTAGAATATTATTACAATACGCCTAAAGCTAAACAAAAACAACAAAAACAAAAACAAAAGGGGGTGAGAAGGAGACAAGAATGTAGGCCTGGCAAACGGGGCATAACTGTATTTTTAAGAGTAAGTCTCCGTTATTCTTAGTGTCGTCTCATCAGACCTGGTCGAAAAAATTGCTATAATAAAGACATTTTGCTCATTCAGTTGTGCTTGCGTAGCAACAGTACATGGGTTGATCCATCTTTGATTCTGATATGTTTAGATGGATTATCTTATTTACTTATAAATATTAAAATTTTAAATGTGGGTTTAAATACACCCCTTCAGCTGTGTTATATTCTAGGGGGGGGGGGGAGGGTATACATTAATTGTACAATTCTTAGAAATCGGAAGGCGAACAATTTATCAAATTGCTCCCAATAATTTTATTCAGATAGTAGTTGGGAAGAGGCCGCGCGAACTGATCGACTATGGCGAGACTGGTATTTTAATGTTTACCTTCCATTTGAGTAATGTTGCTAACGTGATAAATATTATGTAGGCTTCGCCACTACGATTTTTAAAAAGAGCTGCCGGGGCTAGGGTGGGGAGGGGGGGCACGAGAGTGTGTGGGCTGGGATGAGACGCGTACGTTCTGGACTAATTCATCTATTTGAGGTTTCAAAAGTGTTTATTCGGTGGTTTTACCTAATGATTCAGGCTCATCGCAGAACGTGTGTGGTTATTAACGTGATCTGAGCCACCTACTATAGCTCACTCGCTGTTTTGGTCCGTTTGGAGGCTTTAAGAAGCTTTTTTTTTCCTTTTTTTTTTGGTAACAGAGGTCAGTTCTGGTTGCAGTTTGTGGAATGTGCGGTTATTCTAATTCGTTGTATAATCTCATAGCAAATATGTGCAACGTATGAAGCACGCACTGGATTTCACGTTTGATTGTTTCTGCCCTTACTCTTCTGTGTATAATCTATAACTAAGGATCATGGTAGTGTATGTGCTTGTATGTGTGTGTGTGCGCCCGTGTTTGTGTGTATGGTGTGTGTGGTGTATGTCAGTGAGTGTATGCACGTATGACTGCCTGCATGTTTCTATGTGAGTGTAGTAATTGAAGCTTCTGTTTTGAAATAAAGTTATCCCTTCAAGGCAGCAAACGCAAAAACAAATGTAAGCAAGCGACGGGAAATGTACTACACATCCGAGAACTAAGGGAAGGGAAGCAACAATTATAAACATATTATAGATCTAACACGAGTTGTCTCTGATGGTTGTTTTCATTAACATACATTATGAGGCGTTAGTTCTCACGAAAGTGAAGGTCTATCAAAACATGTTTTTTCTTTTAAATAGCGTTGATGAGAAGTGCTGACGACACTTTGATCTATTGTTCTACATCATTCATTTATAAACCCACGTTGACTTGTTCACCTCGAACACATAATAATATTACCCCCCCCCCCCCAAACCTGTTCCCTCTTTCTTTCTCTTCACTCTCGCTCTCCCACTCCAGATCCCTTGTCACCCTGTGCAATAATATATAATTGAACATTCCACTCGTTATCCCAGTTTATTTTGTACAGTTTGATAATAATATAACTCACATTATTTTTGTGTGTGCCAGATCTCATTCTCAATGTATCATTTCCAAAATTTTCCTTCGAATTTTGGTACTGATCAAGCAAAGTGACTGTGATGTACTCAGTGTCTCTACTACCTTTCATGTGTATACAGTAAGTTTTTATGGCTGTTTATGTTGTCGACTTTTAAGGGATACAGACCAGGATAAATTATTCTATCCAATCTCAAATTTAAGCATCATTCTTTATGCGTGGCCTTTCTTTCAAAACTTGATGAGTGAGTTGCAAAACTGCAGTAGAATTCCAGATTGAGCAAGGTTGAAT